TTCATCCCCGGTAGCTGTACTACTCTTCCGACCAGTCGAAGGACCAACTGTTGAACGGCGTCGAATAGACTCTCTGGAAACTGCTCGGGACAACATGGGAGACCGTGTTTGCCTGCGCCAGGTGCGCCAAAGACGACCCATGGTTGGGTTCAATGCTAATTTCTCCATATCCAAGTCCTCCACGACTAACCGGTTGATGGTGCTTCGTTCTGCGCTGGAGTCTGCCTCCTCGGGTCCGTCACTTGGTTTGGCGGATAGTCGCGACCGAGCTGTTTCGCCTGCTATCACCAAGGCCTGTTCACCAATATGTTCGATAATGGAAGTCAGGAAGATGGCAGCCGCCGGTGTAATATTTCCTACATGCATAGAAAACCTCGGCGAGATGCTGCCGTCATCATCCAAACCATTCTGTGCGATATACTCCTCCTCGTCATCTTCTTCCATATCTCCCAGCCGGGTATAGACCATACAGCGCAGGCGAGTCAATTTCCAGGAACGAACCAGATCGAAATCACCGTTTTGAGACATACCCCGACCGAATTGGAACTGCTCATCCTCCGGGCCACCCATATACTCTCGCAACTCCTCATCTGCCGCAGCAACCACTTGGTTTGCGAGTCGAGGTTTCAACACATCCGCCACCGCTGGTCGAATACATGTTAGTTGCGTTGACTTAGCAGCCGCCAGGATATTGAAGAGAAGATGGTCCAGAAATCCATTCAAAGCTGAAAGAGCTTCGGGAGTGACGATCGCTTGCGCATCCGAATCACCGCCGTCTTCTGCCACGAAGTCCGCGGTATTGAATTCCTGGTCAGCGGTGACGATCTGAGCGGCGGACGAAGATGCGATAAAGGAAGGCGGAGGCGTCGCTGCTGGCGCAGTCATGCGAATGCGAGGAAGAGAATCGCTTGACATGCTGTTACTCCGGGAGTGTGAGGCCGTCCGCGCCACGTCGGACTCTAAACCTTTTGTATGCTGCATCGTCGATATGAGGGATCACATACAAATGGCGGGGCTGCGCTAATCCGGGGTTCTGGGTGTGGCGGTGACGTAGTTTATCTTTTTGTTTTCTTCTATTGTTATTCAATCTGGGAAACCTGGATCATCCTGGAACCGTGAAACAATGAAATTTCGTCAGCCTTGCGGTCAATTGTACAGCCCACCTTAGGGCCACTTTTTGCGATGACTGGTATGTAGAGTGCGAGCTGACGATATCAGGCCGTCCATGGGGCGTGATGATGAAGCTCAGTCTCATATCCAAGGCGAACCCGGGGGGTAAAAAAAAGGAAACATTCGAGTTGCAGATGCTGAGAAGCGTTGGAACGGGGCTAAGACATACCCGTGTAACAAGTTCAAAAGCTCTTCACATTCATTTCGTTAGTGTACTCCGTACCGTTGGAATGGTTCCGAGGAACCAATAAGTCATTAGAAAAGGCGAACCGTAGCGGACAGACGATGTGTATCCGATCCCACGGCCAGGGAAAGCAGTAGAAGAAGGAGAGGAGGAAGAGACCGACGGTGAAGAAAGAACGAGAGAAAGAGAAAGAACGCAAGTGCCGTCTTCTTCCATCCGGAGGCAGATCAGGAGTACTAAACCAAGGCTAAGGTCATAGTAACGGCGGAGAAGTTTAGTCAACAAGTCTAATTCGGAGCACACCACCGTATTAGGATTCTTTATTATTAGTCTAGTCCCCATGAATTTAATTTTAATTAGAATTTATTTTATTATGACTACGACTCTGCTCCAATTTTTTTTTTTCTATTTGGCGGAAATACTAAGGCTAACTGCCCATTGGAGTTTAGCGAGACTGCAGGATCAGGAGAGACGGAAAAGTGGAGACGCACGATGGCGCATCCTCTTTGGGATCCATGGGTGGAGCCAACAAGTACCTGACTAGTCACCTTCTTTCTAGTCAACCACACTAGTTTAACTTGAATGTTACAGGGTCAGGCTTAGTCTAATGTGTAGTAGTCCGTACACTGTACAGAATACATACACTGTGACCAAGGTGTCTGTTATCATTGCCCAACCTAAAGAAAGCCTTCACAACACTCCCGTGTCTCTCCCTCTCTTAGTGTCAAACACTGATCTAACTCTCGACACGAGCCCTCATCATCCAATTGATTCTAATCACCCTTGCCACACATCGGAGTACACCTCCGGGACGGGATATCCCCTTCAGCCCGTGGAAGAAAACCTGTAATAGTGTTCTGATAAGCAACTGATCGTTCCACGGTTCTTCTGGTCATCATTCTGAGGTGATAAACCGACAAGTTACTGCGACAGGCAAGCCCTGCGAAGAGAAAGAAGCCCAAAAGAAGACCAAAAGAAGGTCAAGATGACACTGAGACGGAAACGATCTCCATCCCGAGAAAACTAACGAAAGAAAAGGGCTCCACTTGGTCTTCCGTCCCAAGCCACCTGAAGAGCCAATCCGATTGGGGTTTACCCGTCCCAGCTCCCAGGGTCAGGGGGCGAAACGACAAGAAAAAGGAGCACCAAAAAAGAAAAAAGGGAAGGAAGGAAGGGAAAATGGACCGGCAAGAATTTCGCCATGTTTCAAGTCTGTATTAAATCTATCTGTAAGTTCTGGGGGATCATCATATTTGCTTTTTGTCGGTTCTGACCGGCTTTTCACCACACGCTGAGGTGAGCGAAAAACCTTAGTCCATGCCTATTCTTGCCTAACGACTAAGCACGAGATGGTCCGCCTCGTGTCCTAAAAATTTGAAGAATTATCATTCCCTCTTTCTCTCCGGATCGGCTCTCGCGCACGCAGTACCGGAAAACCGACTCTCCATCCAAACTTAGTTTCCCAAACTATTGGAGCTGATCCAATCGTGTCCCAATACTACTTGGGGAGGAAAAGAGGCTGATCCACCTGACACTATTGTTCTTCTTTATCCATACCCTGCCCCAGATTAATCTGATTGGATGTACCCTCCATCAGTATTTCCTCCGACTCTGTGTCTCCTTTTTATTAGTATTACTTTTTTTTTTTTTTTTTTTCTCTTCTAATCCACTTAACCGCCACTCAATTACTCCATACACGACCACATACGGAGTACGGATTACAGTAAACCAGAAAAAGAATACAAAGAAAGGAAGGAAGAAAGAAGGAAAGAAGCCTACGACTATCCAACCCGAATCCACCAGAAAGAACCCCGAAAGGAGACGATCATGACAGCACGCCCGAGCACAATAACGGGGCACAGGTCAACACTTCCCCATACAGCCACAGAGCTTACTCGACGGCAGCAAAAGCCGTGAGGCCCGTGACGCTTAAAGTTGTAGGAATATACATAGCACGGGCTCCTGGATAAAGCAAAAACATCCTCTATTCAAATACTCCCGTCCAATCCACGCCTGAAATTGGCCATAGCCCTGCGGATATGAACCCACTAAGTTATCAAAGTTGCACCCCCCCCCCGGCCCTCTCAGGTACGTGTCGATGATCTCATTCGGCAGTTGACGAGGTCGGAACGAGAAAAGACAGGGACCCCATTTCGGGAAATGGCGATTTCAAATCAAAGGCTACGTACTCCGTAAGTACTAACTTCAATTGATGGCGGGTAGACTAATGCCCGTAACTCCATTCGTGGGTCGGTCGTTTTCTCCAGCGGGGTCATCATAATAAACCATGGTTGGTGGTGACAGGTTCATTTAGATTGGATTAATCAACCAGATCATGGGATAAATTAAAGTGATCTCAGCTGAGATCAGCTCAGCCAACATAGTGTGTATGTGTGTGTGCGTGTGGTAAGCTGAGAAAGAAAGTATATTATATCTAATGTACATTGTCGGTACGGAGTAGGGCACCGAGTTAGTCGCCACGATGGAGAAACGATAGGATAGTAGATACAGAATACTCCGTACTTACATGACTCAAGTAGTCGATCTTCTCAGAGCAAATTTCCCAGGAACCACTGGAAAAGACAGAACCACCCAATCTATACCCCGGTCCATACGTACGCATTATATACTAGTATAGTATACAGTAGTAGCAATATATTAGGTAGTATATGTACCAGTCGCCCAAAAAGTACCAATACATACTCTGAGACCTCCCAGGAAAACCCGCAGGATTCACATCCCAGCATCCCCCACTGTAAAACACATCTGAATCAGCCCACGACCGCAGTGGTCGTCTCACGATGGACCAGGATGTCGGATACCTGCATGCATGGACTCGGCTCCACCCTTACTCAGATGATACTAAAATCATCCGGCCCCCAGCGGAAAAAAAGAAAAAAAGAAAAAGCAATACTCCGTAAAATAATTGTTTGATTACGTCTCGGGCTAGCCCTAGCCTTCTGTCTGCCTATTATTTTTCTTTGCTTTTGGGAACCGAACATTTAGAATCTTGCTTGCATATTTTAGTTAGTCGGGTTGCACTATCGGACATCGTGGCGTTTGGGGGTTCTAGACGATGACGGCATCGTTTGTTGGTTTTCAGTATTTACGTGTGCTTAGTTGGATATGCGTGCAGTAGGGGGTGATTTAAGACATTTCATTTTTGTCTGTATTAGTAGTGGTTCGCATGATCGGCATATCTGATATTTTTTGGATCTTGTGGCTTAAGCTTGGGGAGATCTGTGGATGTGCCTGGCAATAGGTTATGTCAGTGCGGTCTTGAAATCAATGGGAACTTGTTGGAGGTTCGTTATGCCTAATTTTTAGCTTCATTATTGGCCTTGGAACTTCGGTACTGTCGCCTCTTAGGGCGGTCCTAAAAAAAATGACTTACGGAATCAGAATCAACTTTTGAGCTTGGGGATGATGGTACGGCAACAATCGCTACAACCCAAGGGAAATGCGACGGCCTACATAAGAGACAGTCAAAGCTTTCCTCGTGGTTGAAAAGGGAGCCGTGTAGACATATGCCCGTATTGTTAAATGAACGTGACCATGGCCACTGAAACTCAAGATTTCAAAACTGAATAGATTAACCCGCTAGATAAAGCTTTTGTAAATCGCTATAGATAAATCAAATAAATTCCAGTGTTTCCGTGTCAGACTTTTGTCCTATGTTGGCTTCGTTCTTCCTGCACTGAAGCCTTTTGTTGATCGTAAATCATTTCAATGGACCATATAGGGTTTCCAGTTTTCAAGGGCATACGCGACCCCACCAGCAAAAAAGCTCAGCTCATCATGTCCGATCTTGACATCACAGGCCAATCTTTCGGAGAGAAGGCCCTCAATCTTCTTCAATAAGCTCAGGTTAAGACTCTCACGGGTCCTAGTCGCCTGTTCCAAAGCTCCCTTTTCTTCGCTGAGGCTTAAAAGTTCATCAAACTCCTGCTTGGCAACGAGGTTGGGAAATGTTCCAATCACATGGTCGAGGGCATGATCAAGATAAACCCTATCGGCAATATCTGCCTCCAAGTACGGCGATGTAACACGACCCATCTTGATGTCGCCAACCCGCGCGTGCAGACGCGACTTGTAGCCGGGATCAGCGATCCCATTGATGCCATTCATGTAGGCTATGAAAAGCCGCTTATCTAGATCTATGACATCACTGGTATGTTCTTCAGGCAGCTGCTTGATGGAGTCACTGATACCGCCATGTTCGGTGTCATCGAAATCGTCACCGATATCGTTTCCCTCCTGTAATTGGAGGCTGCCAGATGCCCTTGCCATCTCCATAAGCTCATGGCAGGTCAATTCCGTACAGGGTGAGTCTTCTTCTTGGAGCTCTGGCGCTTCAATATAGCGCAGGTTGGTGTCAAACCTAACATTGTTTGACCCGAATGAAATAAAGGAACCATCGGCTGAGTCGTCGTCGTAATCATAGTCATTGTCATCATCTTCGCTATATTCGGACATGGAGTCCGATTCATCTTCCCAGCATGTGACGTAGTACACTTCATCGTCATCGGAATCCGAATCGGAGTCGGAGTCGGAGTCGGAATCATCTTCTGATAAAAACTCAAACTCTTGTTCAGAAGCACCCGATGCATAGCCGGACTCAGATTCTTCGTCTTCCTCGATTTCGGCATACCGTCTCTTTAAGATCGGCTTCAAGTACGGACGATCTGCCGTTGCCGTAGTAGGTGTTACAGACGAGACCACTGACGAATTGACGGTGGTCGGGTTAGTCGATGTGACTGAAACTTCATCAGATGCATAACAGCTGTCCTGAGAGAGAGAGATTTCGAGGCCAGAGAATGTCGAAGAAAGAGACTCCCAGGACTTTTTGTTCATAGTTTGGTTGCTCATCTTGATAACCTGTGATCTGTGTTCGAGACACGTTCTGCCAAGTACCAATGTAGGTATGTTGAGACCCAAGGCCTTGACAACAGGTGAAGAATAGACCGTTTAATTTATTGAAAAAGGATCAGTAGTTGTGTTTTCGATTTTGAAAGTTTTTGGCTTCGAAGGCCTCCGAAGAACCGGTAGGAGTCCATGGTGAAACACAAGCGTGAATCAAGGTATTCACCTAGTGGAGGCTGACGAGGGCATCCCCGACAAAAACAATCTTGGAATACATCTTGGTGATTACTTCGAGATCCGTGAATTTCTTAAGGTAAAAGACATGCACTTCTGGTGCTGCTGAAGGTTACCGGTACAAGGCTCCGGTTTGAGTCCTCTCCTCGTTTTCAAAAAAGGGTTGATTTTGATGGACTCTGCGTTGATATACATATAGACTGTAGGTGTGCGTATTCGAGATCTTTCAAGGTATTTTGATCGCCCACGACGCGTTGCGTGGCCTTAACAGGGATAGTTGAGTCTGGACGAGAAAGCGCGACTTCCTCGACTGAATCAGAGATATATTCGCGTCGTTGTACCAGAGATGATGAGTCGAGCCCTGGGCTTATGAATTCACGCCACTTTGCGTGGGATGGGGTGAGAGATTTGGCGGGGGCGCGAGGGGTAACAATCGGAAGATAGTCAGATTGCCCCAAGAGAAGTTCAGAGATACACTATCATGAACCCACACAACAAACGTGTGGTAGCGACAAGAGTGGTGATGATGAAACAGCACAGGGTGCCTGTGGAAGGAAGGTCAAGGAAAGACGACCGTCGCTGACAGTCCTGCCTTGGAGTCAGATTTCCGTCATCACCCACCACCTGACCAGTTGCGGCTGTTCGCCCCCTTCTTTCGGCTCCTTTCGGCCCGGCTTCGGAAGTCCTGAAATGGTATAGCGTTCCTCGGCTGCCGCTTGTTTCCCAACGAATGAAGTCATGGCAACCAGTTCGGTGTCTAAGTTGATCCGCTCCGGGTTAGGGCTTCTGGACCGGAGTACTGCGTACCCGATCTGGTACTACTCAATATAAGCTATTATAAGCAAGTATTGAAGTAAAGAAAGAACTGCGTCAGGCGGGATGATGGTTGTGAAACACGACAAAATCTAGGTTGTACAATCAAGATTGAGTATATCCCTACTAATTCTATAAGAATTCATGTGTACTTATGTTTAATTAGCAAAAGTACTGGTCACAGGAGGTTTAATGAAGGACACTCGCCTTAATCTGGCGAGCATCAACGAAGGAGATCTTTGTTCAGTACCTGCAGATATGCAGGTACCACAATTGAGCGTATACTTCGAGTATACTTTGAGGCAAGGTACTGATATGTCCCTTGTACTCTCAACCTAATCCGTCCCTAGATGTTTATCATTCTTAGTGTCAAGCATTCCAATCTCAAAATAGGTTCCTTCTTTGAGGAACACAAGGGATGCAACGATCTTATCTGCGCTTTTACCAATCGTAGTAGTTCAAGCATTCTTTCATATGGCTGCTTCCCCCCTTTACCCTCCCAATCTCTCCCACCTTACCCACTGTTCGAAAGTCGACCCCTGGTTGAGTTAAGTGTTCTTTCTGATCCTGGCAGCAGTTGTATCCAGTTTGGATTTAGGTGTTTGAGCCTCGACGGGTAATCTCCTACAGATCTTGGCAAACCATGATCGCCGTTTGTTTGTTGCACAATAACTGCCTTCCAGAGATGAACTACAAGGATAAGACGGATTTGGACAAAGAAACCGCACTTGGGGCGTTCTGAGCTACATCAACATCGCGTGGTCTTGAGTGAAACGTGATAGCTATACTATATCCCTGTACAACAACTAAATTACCTGTTGAGAAATTAGTCGGTGGCGATCTCTGGTGATCCCTTGCGATCTAGAGCACATTTTAATTTTGTTGATATACAAGATGAGAAAGACTGGATGCAAACAATTGAAGACTGGTCAAAGGGAGCTGTTACGCGTCAGGAGGATTAATTATAGAAACTTCAGGAGAGCAGATTAGCACCTGCCGTGCATATCTTTTGTTCCAAACTTCTTTGAAGTTACTTACTAATTGGAACACAACTAGAATCTGCTAGTATGGAAATGATTTCCCCTTGATGAGCACTTATTCCGTGCATGGTTACTGGAGGCGCGCATTCCTCTCCAGCTCCAGCATTCCGGGATCCATTCCAACAGGGCGATCGACTCCATGGCATTGGAGGGCTCGACCGCTCGAGCAGCTCCTACTCCACCGAACTAGTCAGTAAAGAATCCCATTGAACAAGGTTCATTTGAGAGTGGAGGGGGGGTCTTTCCCGGATACCCACACAAGCTCTGGGTCTAATTCATAGGGTAGTATCATGATTCATGACGCTTACATTCGGTACGTCATTTCGCCGTGATGGGTGCTTCCCGTTGAGGAACGGCCCTGCTCCAACTAAGAAACGCGCATGGGCTGCGCGTACAAGCCGGCCAGTAGCTACTTCCATTGTTAACGATCATCTCTCGCCATCATTGGTGTGCATTGGAGGACACCTCTCTGGGGTCCTCGTATGACTGTCCTGCTGATACAACACACCCTGTTTCTGGTATAGTAAGGGTTGCATTCTACCAAGTGGCTAATGGGAACATCCGAGCATTCTCTCTGTCAATGAATGTGGGCAAGCCCTTGAGGTATCCAATCAGCCACCCAGTTTTTCAACCTCTGTGGTTGGTCGGAGCAGGGTACTCAGGCATTCATGTCAAGCAATGGGCCCAGGGTGGACCATATGGAGAGCTTCCCATCATCCCCCCTCTGGGGCATTCCTTACCCATCTTTAGAGCAATTGGAATGTGTGTAGAATCCCAGAGGCTGGGTCCCCGGCGCAACGATTCAAATACAGGCCTCTGTCTGTTGTTTGTTTTCTTTGTCTTCTTTGCATCTTCTGCAGTGTTTTCTTTGATTGTCAAACCATCAAACCACTCCTACACACCAAACATTCCAACATCGATCGCTGCAAAGAATCGAAGCTCTTGGACGGATCGCCGGCTAAGGATCCGCAGTTCCCTTCGACCCAGAGTATACGCTGGTCGCCAATCAGATTGGACCCTGCCCACCAATTTTTTGGTAAACGTTCTCTTTGACAGCTGAGGTTGGAACCACCATCGCCGCAAACGGAAAGGGAATATCCGACAAGATGTTTGCACAACCTTTCGACCATCCGTTCAACAACGATGATTTATTCAGTCAGTACGTCAATATTGATGGCTCGAGTACCGACGGCAACAAAGACGTTTCATTCCCTGGCGACTTTGATCAATTCTTTTCGCTGGACTCATTGTCAAGTAATTGTGGCGAGCAGTCACCCATCATCTCCACTTCCAAACAACAAACCCATCCTTCACCACAGTGGGCGAAGGATCTCTGGAGCCTACCGCCAGATGCACCCTCATCTCTAGGCCAAGCCCCCCTTGCATTTCAAGACACGATTCATCCCTCTGCTGTTTCAGATCTAAACGTCAACCTTGAAGCTTCTTCGACGACTCGCCCTGCAGAGACCCGCTCTTCGCCGACAACTCCCCCGGGAACTCCACGCCGTAAACCAAAAAGTGCATTAGTCACTCCGAAGTCTATCCAACGTCACCGCGAACCTAATGGTCGTCGTGGTTTGCAGCACAAACAAAGCTTTTCCCCCAGCTTGACACGTCCTACTCAATTCCAGAAAGGAAGAATGGCGTACCAAGAAGCTTGGGCGCACCGACTTCAGAACCTGAATTTCCTCCGTAGTGCTGATGACCGATTTCCACTGTCGCCGCCGCCGTCAGATATCCTGCCACAACAAGAAAACATAGCTGCCGATAACAGCGCCGTACACATCCATCATTCGGGAGACTCCGGCGAGATGCATCATCACTTTGACTCTAACATATTCACCCCATCTCCCGCGATCTCCATGCCATCGCCATGTACGGGAGTGCTATCAAGACAGCAAGCCCGGTATTTAAGCCACTCCAATAACTCCACGGTGACTTCGAGCCCCCCTTCAGCAGACGACATCTTTCCCTCCCCGCATTCCTCGGATCCCCAGTCCATGTCATCCTGGAATTCCGATGCGCTCGGCACTCCCGGGCTTCCTTTCACGCCTGATCTTCAGAGCCACGATGCTCAGGCCTGGTGGCCTCCCATGAATTCTCGGGTGCCCCAACGCCAACCTTCCTATCAACAAGTAGTCACGTCGCCCCCTCCACAGCAGCAGATCCAGAACACCACCCATCAGCATGATTTGGCCAATAATCAACATGACATCCTGCAAGGGGGTCTTATGATCCAGATGGATCCCTCTGCGTATGACATGACTGCTACCGCCAATTCATCGTTTTCCTCCTCCACCATGGCTCCGGCAGCGTCCAATTGTCAGGAGAACCACGCTTATAGCCACGTGCCTATCGCTCACCCTAAATATGTTGACACATCTTCCTTTGCAACTCCTCAGCTTCATCAATCGCGATCACCATCTCTGTCTCCGCGAGCAGATCGATCCCCCAAGAACGGATTAGCCATGCATCACAGCATCACCATGAAAGCTCAGCGCCGTCAGCCCGGCCGGAAGATTTCCTCCAACTCAATGAATGTCCCTAAACCTGTCAAGGGCCTTCATGGATCGGGCAGCCCCAAGGGAGCCGGCAAGTCGGTAACTGTATCATTTGTAAACTTTACGCCAAATGACAGTCAAAAGATTCTCACAGGAGTTGCCCCCAGTGGCAGCTCCAAAACCAAAGCGCGTCGGGAGCAAGAGGCCCGTGACCGGCGTCGCAGGATTAGCGAAGCCGCACTTAATGCAGTACGGAAAGCCGGTGGAGATGTGGAGGCTCTCGAGGCTGTGATGTATTAAAAAACTGGAGTTAATCCCGTTGGCCTGTTTGACTTCTTGTTTTATTTCTGCTATATACCTTTTGCCCTTATATTACTTTTATATTCAGTGTTTCCAGTTGGTCTGTTCGGTGTTTGATGGATCCGGAGTCTAAAACACTGAGAGAGGATCTGTTTGAGCGTTAGATTTGTTCCTGGCATCTTAATCAGCCCCCCGGGCCGTCTTACCTAAACCTAATTAGGCATAATGTATTCCACCTTGATGTACATATCGAGTCTCCAAAAGTACACCAAATGCCATACCACTTTAATATATATTTTTGGTCTTCTCATTGGTTCAAGTCCTCTTTTCTAGTTGATAAATATATATCATATTGGATCAAATATCATGTGAGTCACGAACGTCATGATGCACACCAATATATAAGAAGAGCCCTTTAGATCGCATAACTAGTATACACAGTTCCAACCCCACTCAAAACGAGGGCCATTAGATCTCATAAAATACATATCTAAAGTACAAATATCCAGTTCTAACTCCAGTATTTAACATGAAGTATCAAGCCACTCGGACAAGATCAGCATGTCATGAACCAAGAATGGCCCTGAGCCCATCCTTTCCCTCAAATCACCAGACGATATAGCCAAGTCGCGCCCCTAGATCTTCTCCGACGGGAGGAAAGCGCAATACAGCTTTGAAACCAAAGCTATCAGATAATTCCCGAGCCGTCACAAGCCACAAAGTAACCAGACATCGAATTGACAGCGGCCAATCGCGACAGTTCGAACGGAATCCTTCAAACGGCGCGTGTAATCTACCGACGAGATAAAGATCGACATTTCCTAATTTCTATCCCGTCATTGAACCTCATCTCTGAGACGGCTTCGGTGTCCAGGATTGCGGCTGCCAGTCCTGGCTAGGAGCTCCTCGGGCTGCAGCCCAGGGGTCCTTTTTAGTGACTGGTGTCTCGACGTGGTCCGTTTCTTTGGGTTCGGGTGTAGGGGCAATATTTCCATGTGTATTGTTGCCCTCCGTGGATGCATTCATGGTCGCATCTGTTGTTTGGGTTGCTGGTGCTGGTTGTTTGGTCTGTGGCATGTCGAGGTAGGAGGGCTTGCTGGCCCAGCGCTCATCGGCCAGTCGGGCCAGTTGCTTAATTTGAATCTGGCGGAGAACGTCTTGTTGTTGCTCTTGGACGGAGGGGGGTTCGGCTCGGACGTAGCGGAGCCATTGGTGCCATTGTGCTGGATTACCATTTTGTCAGTTCATAAATGATTTTCTAGCGTGTCTTGCGAGGGCAAATGAGGGTGGAGTAGAGTAAAGTAGTTAGAAAGGAGAAGGAAGTTGCTTACGGCTCACTTGGACATCCGCATAATGGGTTTTAGGATTGAACTTGACAATCCGTCGGTATCGCGCAGCATTCAAGGCATCTTTAAATTCCCAGAATGTGTTTCCGGAGAGATCCGTCCCTATTACAAAGACATCTAGTCTGAGACATTGCGGATAACTAGGTAGCAACATTGAGGTTGGACATACCGACGAGGAAGGATTTTCGCCACGGCAATCGAAGGCTCTTCCACTTGAACCACAGACTATTTACCGGACTCATTTCGAGGCCGATCGAGAAGAGAAATCAGGCGGCTATGAATGGTAAGAAAATCAAATAAAATAAAAATGGGGAAACTGAAGCAGCGTCATCCACCTTGACGTGAATTGGGGGGCTTAGACAAGACTTGGGCACCGAAGGGATTCATTGAACGACGGACGTCATCGGGTAAGGCAGGGCTGTGATAGGTCACGGTATTGGCGGCCTACTAGTCGATCTACAGGAGACAGAAGGACAACAGCATTCCATTCCATTCCCTACCCGGTTGCTTATGAACAAGTATACTAATTATTCTATTCTGTATCACTTCACTATTCTCATATATTTCCCCCCCCCCCACCACCCCTTTTTTCTCTTTTCTACTGTTCTTCCCCTTTTAACTTGAACGCTACTCTGTATATAACCCACCGAGCTATTCGATTCTAGATCCATTCAATTTGCCTCTTTTCTATATCAGGAGCACCGCCTCCTATTCCGCCCCCTTGGTTCCCGTACCACGGTTCATGCCAACGGCTGGCAGCATTAAACAGTCAATTCCATCTGTCGGTCGTAGTGAGAAAGAAGTCTAACGACTACTCACGACAGACTGATTGTTTCAGATAAATCCGAATCTCAAACATGGCTTCCGTTACGTCACTGGATAAGGATTTGCGCAGTCTGCGACTGTCCCGCTATACCCCGCAGGCTGCCGCAGAAGTCCGCAACTGGGTTGAAGAAGTCCTCCATGAAAGACTACCAGCAGGAGATCTTCTAGATGCGCTCAAAGATGGCGTCGCACTGTGCCGGTAAGCTGAATAATTACGTTTCTTACATTCTCCTACCGCAATTCGACGTACTAACGTAATCCTAGGCTGGTCAACCTTGCCGTTTCCCCCGGCGTCAAGTATAAGCAGTCATCGATGCCCTTCGTGCAAATGGAAAACATCTCACACTTCCTTCGCGCGTGTCAAATCCCACCCCTGAGCCTTCCTCCGCATGATGTTTTCCTCACTGTCGACCTTTATGAGGCCAAGGATCCAGCACAGGTACTGCAGTGTCTGGTGGCCTTCAGTAGAAGAGCTAATGCTCTCCAACCCGGCAAATTCCCCCGTTCGATTGGTCCTCAAAGCAAAGTGGGTGCTTTAAGCCCCAATGCGACCGGTTCCAGTCAAGGTGCCCATACACCATCTCGGCCACGGGGACTCAGTAATGCAAACTCCAGCGCCTCTGGATACTCAAGCCCGGCCAAATCTCCAGGCCCGGTGAGCAGTTGGAGCAAAAGAACGGATGAGCATACGACGATGCCAGCTTGGAACATCCACCAATACGGCTATATGGGCGGCGCCAGTCAAGCCAACCAAGGTGTGGCGTTTGGTGCTCGACGACAGATCACGACCGCGGCACCAAATGTACCGAGTCTGGCCGAAAAGGAGAAGCGCAGACGTGAAGAAGAAGAACGCCTGCGCTTGGAGTTCGAGGAGTCAGAGCGCAGACGTCAACAAGAGCGAGAGGCAGAAGAAGCGCGTGCGCGAGCAGAAGAGGAGCGTCGATGGGAGGAGGAAACTGCCCGTCTAAAGGAACAAGAGCGACGCAAGCTTGAGGAAGAGCGAAAGAAATGGAACGATCAACAGCGACAGTGGGAAGAGGAGGAGCAGCAGCGTCAGCGCGAGGAAAGAGAAGCCGATGAGAGGCTGGAGAAGGAGAGGTTGCGCCGTCGGGAAGCCAATGATACCCGCCTGAATGGACAGTTCCTCAGTCAATACCAAGCGAGTCAAGCTGGACCGGACCAAGCCCCCGCCGAATCCTCAGAAAGCCGGCGCATAAAGGAACTCGAGCGAGAGTTAGAGACCGCAAAGCAAAGGGAAGCGGAATATCAGCGCGAGCGTCAGGAGCTGCAAGTAAAACAAGCCGTACCTGCTGCGACTCGTGCACCTCGCCCAGTACCTGTGCCTCCTAAGCCGAGCTACGATCTGTCCTCGCTCGAGTCAGAACGCCGTCTACTTCGCACGGAATGGAACAAACATCAAAACGAAGAACCAATTGCTGAATCGGTCAGCCCCCTTCCGTCCCTACCACCCCGGCCACTCCCAGAGCCGGCCGCTACTTCACCTCGGCCCCTTCCGGACCCAACGCTCTATGCCTCGAAACCCACGAATCAAGAAAGTCGCGTAGACCGTTTCCTTGCATCCAATCGACCTCCCGTTGCACCAAAGCCGGCCACTCATCGCCCACAAGACTACACAACGACTGCCGAGGTCGACGCAGAAAATAGCCGCCGTGCAGCAGCACAGCAAAAGACCAAAGCGGGCGGATGGGCTTCCAAGTCGTTGCTCGAACGTGAAATGGAGCGCGAGCGCGAGCGCCAGCGTGAGTGGGAGGAGAACCAAAAGCAAACGCAACAGGCCGCTGCCAAAGGCATGAAAGATGGTAGTATCGGCGTTGGACCGGGACAAGGAGCCTGGGATGTGCACCAATACGGCTTTATGGGTGGTGACAACCAGAACCGGGGCGGTCCTGGCCTGGGAGTTGGAGGCGCAAGGAGACAGATCATTGGCCCTCGTCCTCCTCCGTGATCAGATATGTTGAAGTCCGGGTAGTGGTGTTCTAGTCAAATCTTTTATACCTATTTGTGTTTGCCCGATGATGGCGGTTATTCGTGTTTTAGAGTTTGATTTGAAATATTGTACCAAGAGCTTGGTGGCTAGCTGTAGAAAAATCATAAGCAATTTGAATAATTTATTTAATCAAGATATAAAAGTGCTAAACCACAACAGCAACGAAAGGCACCGGTAACATGCTAAACGCACACAGACAACAAGGGTATCTATACGCCAAACTCAAGCCGTCAAGAAATAGAATCCACCACAACGATTCCCCTCATCAAAACAAACCCAACATACGGAACCAAATCACTCAATCCGAATCCTCTGCACGCGGAAGAACCTCCTCAGCAAGAAACCTCAACCGCTCTCCACTCTCAAGCAACCAGCACCACTCCGCATCTTCCGTTTTGCGCGCACTTGCGCTCTTCTTGGTCTCCATTTGGGCCTTCTCCGCGCGGCGCTGGATACCCTCTTCTACCGCTTCTTGCAGCTCCGTAGTTACCTTTAGCATGTCGCTGTTTGCGAGCAGGATCAGTAGTGTCTCGAGGAGGGTTGACATCTTGGTGTTGTCGACTACGCTGCTCGTGCTTGCCGCGTAGGGGAGGAAACATTTCTCGAGCTTTGCTTGGTTGAGATACTCTTCGTCTGTGTCTGGGGCTGCGCTTTCGCGAATGCGGAAGAGCAGGTATTCGCAGAGGGTTGTACGCGCCTCGAGGGAGAAGTAGGGTAGTGTTGACGGGGCGACGAAAGCCTGGAAGACGGGGAGGGGGAGATGGCGGATGTTTTCGACGAAGAGGTGGTAGAGTTCCTCTAGGGGGGTGAAGGCGTCGGGGAGAGCCTCCGCGACGCCGGAGAGGAGGTGGAGGAGACGTTGGCGGAGGGCTAGGGATTGGAAGCCCCCGTGCGAGGAGACGTCGCTGAGGGCGTAGACTGTTGATGTGGTATCGACTGCGTCGGCTGATTTGGCGTCTTTGGCGCGGGTACCTCGTCGGGGTCGTTTGGTTTGTCGGGTTGGTCGTTTTGAGGCCGTGTCTGGGTCATTCTTGGTATTGTTATCGGAGGAATCGTCGTCGTCGTCGTCATCGGTTAGGTAGTCTCCGTATTGTTCTTCGTCGATGTTGACCTGGATTTCGCGTTTCTTGGTGTTCTTGTCTTGTTTGGGCTTTTTCAGCTCGTGGTGGAAGACCTCGCGGAATTCGTTCGAAGCGGACGAGCCCCCGTCTGCGAAGATCGCGCGGAGGATCCGTCGGTTGCGGCCGTATCCTGCTGTTGTTTCGGTGATGTAGCGAAATATCAGGCTATCTTTGAGGGCTTTGTCGTCTGTGTTTGAGTTGCGATCACACATTCTTTTGCGTTCGTTCCAGTCATCTTCGAGCACTTCGCACATGTATTCGAGCCAGATTTGCCATTTCTCCCACCGTTCATGATGGAGCACGGAACAGTTGAAAGCCCACCCGACTGCGTGCCAGAAGTCCTCTGCGCGGGACCATAGGGAGGCAGTCTGGGCCAGGTCGAGGTTCAGCGGCTTTGTATCATCGTCGGGAGGTTGCTCGTCTTCGGCGCGCCGGCGGCGCCCATGGCGGGATGCTTCGAAGTGGGTGAAGGTAAACGCGGTGCCGAGTTTGGCGGATACTGGTCCGGCGAGGGTGTTTGCGAGGCGGAGGAGCCGCAGGGAGACATTCGAGGCATCTTCTTGTTCTGCGGTTTTCGCCCGGGTGGTGGTTGAGGGGTGGACGAGGAATGTAGCGGCGAGGGCGAGATGCTGGGGCGACGGGACGTAGACTGGCGCTGGGGTAATTGTGCCCGTGGTGATGATGTTTAGGAGTAGGTTTAGAGCTTGCGTGTCTGGTTAACGGACGCCGCGGTCAGTTTGACGATCAAGTGAATTGCGGGGAGTGAGGGGAGGCGGACAGAGCTTCTCTTCAAAGAAAATGCCCACATGTTGGACCAGTTCAAAGGGAAGAGTCCTAGCAGTACGGTAGAGAGGCGAGGGCGCCTCTTCGTCTGCCACTGCCATTGACTGGGGTGTTCACTTGTCGACTGAGAGAGCTGATGGTGTAGAAGGTTGAGAGTCGCGGTGTCGCGACTCTTATCGATATGCGACAACCACGTGTAATAATGAATACCCTGGTCATAGTCATAGTCATGGTCATTGATCCATGGTTTGTTTTTCGCAATTGATATGGATATCAATCTACCGATTGTATACCAAGTTTCAAGTAACCTGGCTTACATGTAAAGTGAAACAGATCTTCGTTATCTGATCTACACAGTATATTACCACTCTTTGGGGTGAAGTATTTATTATACTTTTTACTATATAGTTTAAATAAAAGACCAAACAATCACCAATTCAAGGTGCTGTAGTATAGTGGTCAGTACGGTTCGTTGTGGTCCTATGGGACATTCCCGAACAGACCTGGGTTCGATTCCCAGCAGCGCCAAATGGCGCTTAGAACTTGATTGGTCCTTCTTTTTTGCGTTTCTTGAATACTCGCTATCTTATCTACCCCTTTTTTTTTGTCCTCTACATATATATATAGATGGATAGGGGTGAGTGGTTTTGCACTTTGGTGCCCCTATAATGATAACCCTAATCCTAATCTTGTTGCTTCAGTCGATCAGGTGGAGCGGATCTTCTCTCAGTTTCTAGTGTAGTTTGGTGTGACAAGGACCTTTCTGATTTTCCTCTATATTATAACCGAGAGAGATATATATCTATACATGCCTTTTTTGTTCTAAGGAAGTCAACATTGCCTTCCAGCGTATATAGTTTGGTGATCCCCCTTACCTGTACTACATACGTAGATGGTATTCGATAGTAACCAATTCCCTATCCGACGCAGCACAATGGTATCAATACCAATATAACGGGCAGTATACCAACCATAACCCCAATATTTCATACAGACCTGTACATGCCATACACAATGAGGCCCAGTCCCGCCCATTTACTCCACAGCCCCGAAGATGAGCCCCGGTCACATACGTATGTCCAACTAACTAAAGAAAAATCCCAACCCGTATTCGATATGGACGACCCCTAATCGAAACCGTAGATAGGTGTTTATAGTATCGCCGACGACGCTACGGCAATCTAAAACCATCTCTAACGTACTACTTCTAGGCACACGAACCTTTATAACCACAAGCCGAGGTTCCCGTACAAACCCAATCAGTATCCAATATAGGGTTGATTGCTCTATCCCTCATGTGACCCAACAGAGCTGCATGATCTAGATTAACCCTAATGCAATAGACGTAATATCCGCCCAAAATGGCATAAGCTAAGACATCAGTCTCAACAAAGACCAGTCCTACGTAAAGCCCATTCTGACCATGCTGTTGCGTACGGTTGCAAACGGTAGAATGAGTAGGCTGTGAGGCCAGTTACCAGGAGTATGTTTCATAGATTTAACCCCATATACACCGTAAGATGCAAATAGCAAATACCCCTTAGTCTAGACACGTGGTTTCAAGAGCCAGATCAGCTGGTTCCTGTCCTCTATCAAAAGATTTCCGCGACCCCATATTCTATTGATTTTTTTTCGACATTTTTGGTTCTTTTGTTCCTTTTCACTTTTGGTGCCTCCCGTACTCCATGCTACCACTCCATCCCGCTTTCCAGCAAACAAAAGTATTCGACAGGGTAGAATAGCAGAGTTCCGGCCAATTCCAGGTCGGGGGGATAGCCCCTGAAACATGAAACAATTATTACAAGACAGAGAAAGGAAGGATATTGGGTGCCAAGTGGAGAATATTATCAAGAAAAAAAGAAAAGACAAAGCAAATAGAGAAGGAAGAGAACAGGAATATTTACTCCTCTGGTTCGGGAGAGAAGAGACCTATCCGCAGTCGGTGGGACTGTGGCCAAGTTAGCTAGATATGGGTATAGATATTGTCGGGCCAGGGGGTACGTACAAAGGGAAGCTTCGGGATGACCACTCCCAGAGTAGCTAAGAAGTTGATGGTGAAATACGTCAAGTCGTAATGGGTGTAATGCGTGCTGAGAAGGAAAAGACAGATCGGCACGCATAGCAAGAACTTCTTCGTCGGGGTGTATTGATCTCCGTTGTCAATTTGCTCCCACATGTTGAGATTATCATAGGCACCCGCGTTGAATTCGAAAGGGATGCCCCGCACCCAATGGAACATAAGAAACGAGCCGAACATGTAGCTGATATTGGTCAGGGTCCATGAGGTTTCCTGCGAGACCCCGGGAATGATGTCGTAGAAGATCTTCAAGGCAACAATTAAAACGAAATGAATGGTCCAGGCACCTGTCATGAGCAGTCTCCGGTTAGCTCCCCGGACACCACAATATGCATAGAGGCCATGTCGATGCACTCACCCTTTGCATTGACCCAGTTCGCATTTAGATTGGGTAAGGCGGCCTGGTCGCTGGTGCGCTCAATGGATTCCGGTGGTTCCTGATAAATGATGCTGCTTGACCGTCTCCTCCGTCCACCCTTATTCTGGGACATGCTGGAATCCGGACTCAATCGTTGCGGTTGAGTATCCACCCCCGGGGGGAAGGAAATGGTACGGGGAACTGCGAGGGAAGACACTTTGGCGGTATTGAACGGGGGAAGACCGTGGGATCGAGGAAAGGTGATGGGGAAAAAAGAAGACGAAGAGGAGGATTTGGGAGAGGATCGGAAAAAAGAGCGGCCAAGACAGTCCCAGATCTGGTGGAATCACACTTGTAGCTAATACGTAAGTAGGTTGTTTGCTAATGCAGAAGTAGCAGAGGATCTGATCCGTCCTTCAGTTCACTTCCGACCGTCAGATTGGATGATCGGCAGCTGTTTGGGTCACGGGATGTTCACCAATCCGAGGGGGCAAAAAAATGGATGGATGAATTTGGGGGTATTTTTAGGCAAAACGTAAATTCAGTGTCACAAAAAAAAATGTTGTTGTAACTAAAGAACGCGGCAATTATATCTAGGAATTTATGAACACAAGGATAGACTCTTGTTGAAAAGACTCAATACAAGAACAAACACCAAAAATAAAAATTGAAAAGAGTTGGGGGATATAAGGATATATAAAAGTAGGATATTCAATGTCGGAACGAAGAGGGGGGCAAAAGGGAATAAAAGACAACAATAATACCAATACTAAGGTAAGGTACGGAATAAACCCCTACTAATAATAGTCCGAAACGGTCCAGAAGCAACCGTAGAACATATTAATGAGTTAGTTTTGATCTATCTTTCTTCTCACTAAATATTTATAGAATGATCGAGACTTTGTAGTAGTTTAATATTTGCAACTTGCGTACACCAGTTTGTTCTAGACAAGCAATCTGTATGCCAACCAGCAGCTGGACTGTTCATAATGGTTTTCCTTGATGAAAATATTATATTTAGTTTTTCTTTATATATAAATATCAACACCACCACACCCTATGGGATCGATAGACTCCTGATATTGCCGATAGTGTTGGGTATTTTCCATACACAAGTACTAGAATGATAAACTAGTAGCTACTTAATAGTAAACATGCATCATGTACTGCCGGGCGGAAGTTCTTCTATCCGAAACTGCACCGATGGTCACTATAAACCGCCGTAAATTTTAAGAAACTAACACTCCACACCAGACAATCCTTCCCCATTTCACGCGTTTCCTAGTACTCCGGAGTAGCCTTTTCTATCCTTCGGCTCATGATCACAGTATGCCTGATTCACCTGGTGACGATAATAACGATTCCAGAACAGCCTCAGTTGGTGCGCAACGCAATCGCGCCACTAGCACCAATGGCTCGCGACAGAGCTCCATAGACAGCAGCAATTCGCACCCCAGGAAAAGACAACGAAGAAATGGAAAGGTGGGGCCTACAGATGCACGCGACTTTGTCCCTCAAGGTGCCACCTTCAGCGCAAATACATTGGAGGTCGACCCGGATAGTACGTCGAGCTCTGGCTCCTCAGGTAGCGACGATGAATCCAATTCCTCGGATGATGGAAACGAGGCTTCTTCCCAGGCTGGGCCCCAATCTGCAGCTGTTCCCAATTGGAATAAGGCCAGTAAAAGTACCATCAGGACTTCATTGAACAAACGGGGAACCAAGGCAAATGAGGGCGAACAGGATTCTCGGTTTGATGCGGTCAACGATAAATACTGGCGCAGTCGCAGCGAATCTGTTTCGACTGGTGGCGCCAACGATAATGTGTCACAGACCAACAGTGATGGTGTTTCTGAAGAAGGAGAAGTACAGGAAGATGATTCATCTGACTCCAGTCGAATGCATCTATCAGGGGACTCCGACGACTCATCTCTGGACTCAGAGGCCGATGACTCGATACTGTTGAATATCAATTCCCGTGGTCAGGCACAGAGTGCTAGCCAGAAACAAAATGGGGGGCTGTCGCTGCACGACGATGATTACGATCCAGAGTCTCTTCCGGTTTCTCAAAGTATTACCAATGGACACGCCTCTGACGGGGCCGCAGATGGTTCTTCGACGACGTCGAAGGAGGCAGCATTCCGCCTCTTCGCCCAAAAATACCCCACTAATCCCGAGACACTTGCTGATCTTAATCGTGAAGATATGGAAGCCCAGGCGAAGTATATTTTCTACGATCGAGAGATTAATGACATAAACTTGCAATTACCAGTAGCCTGCACTGAATGCATGCGGGAGGGTCATCTTGCTGAAGTGTGTCCAAACAAAGAGGTGCGTTCTGAAACTTGCCAACCCCCTTCTTCAGAAGGGTTTGTTACACTGCATCGGAGATAGTAGGTACTGACTGCTTAGTAGTGTGTGCATTGCGGTGCTTGGGATCAGCACCAGAGCAGTTTCTGTCCTTCGTGGAGAAGATGTCAGAAGTGCCGAGAGCGTGGCCACGATCAGCGAAATTGCCCTTCGCTCCTGAAAGGCTCCGCATCTGAGATTCCCTGTGATCTGTGCGGATCTTCGGCTCATTTGGAGCTCGAGTGTGATTTCATGTGGAAAGCTCATCGGCAAGAGCCGCCGGCCGGGCCCGTGCTTGTATCCATATCTTGCTCTCATTGTACCAGTAGCCATCATTTGGTCGGTGACTGCCCATCTCTTCCACAGCCTTTGAAATCTTCGTCCTGGACGTTAAGAGGGATTGATCCGAATATGGTCACGAATATCAATTCCGTAGTCAACGGTAGGAGCGGAGGACCTTCGTCTAGAGGTCGAGGTGGAATGAAAATTAGGGGCCGTGCGGATGCACACTCCTCCCCGGATGACAGCGATGACTTGATGACCAGACGACGGCCCGTCGGTCGTGGTGGAAACCGAGGCAATATCCGGATCGGTAGTGGAATTGGGAAGAACAAGAACCTAGCGCCGGCCGGCTCGCGAGGCCCAGATATGGATTCTCGTCAGTTTTATAGGGATCGTCAGGATTTCCATTCAGGCAACGGACGCCAACGCTCTTTGTCCCCCAACCCTCGCCGCGGAAGAGGCAAGGATAGCTGGCAACCAGCACCTCGTTCGCCCCCACGAGGCCAGTCTAGACCGCCTCCTCGTGGAGGAAGAGGCGGTGGTCGGGGGCGTGGCGGACGTGGCAATGGTAACAAACGAGGGGGTAATGGCGACGCTTATCGCCCAATGCCGAGTGCCGCTAAAAAGGCTTGGGATAAGTACAGACTCTGATCTATGAATAACTAATCCAACACAGGTGGTTGCTCGGCTGGTTGTACATACTGCGACATTCCACTTACGCTTGGCGCCTATAGCAACTTGATGTGTACATGATACCCTTGGCTAACATACATATTTACTGTGTTGATGGCACTTGTGATGCGCTTCAATGCCATTTGATGCATTCACAGCCCCGTGCCTGACCTTTTGGTCAGGTCTTCATCTACTGAGGCAACTGTGTCTGTACATGATCCACGACGGATACGAACAGCCCCACGGGCCGTGGCAATGAACAGCAGCATGCCACGTGGGATTACATGAGCCAAGAGGGTTCGGACTATTCGTCTAATCTTGAATTTAGGCATACCGGTGGCTGCCAGGCATCGGTGACGGGAATGTGGTAGAAGCCGACCCACTAGTCACTAGTAGGAACCTTGTCGCCAACACGGTTTCCGACAAAACCTCCATCTAGGATGCCGATAAGCTCATCTAACCGCTCTATGCACAGATCCGTATGGGGATGCTCCTTGAGATGAACGTTGTGGTCGTTCAAGAGCAAGACAGTCGCAGCGCCTGCTGTGTGGCCAGCAGTCATATCATCGATACTGTCACCAACCTAGCATCATATCAGTTCTCAGAGAAGAGGAAATGACCTGGAATGCAAAGAAAAACCCACCATGATTAAATTCTCTCCTCGACTATCCAGTCCCCATTCGTTAGCAATATGCAAAATCCCCGCTGGATCCGGCTTAGGCAATAATCCCGGGGTCTCTCTTGTAATGATTGGCAGAAACACGTGAGCAGGAAGATGATTATCTAGAAGATGCCGTACTGGTGTTCTGCCATAATAGTATTAACCTTTACCGTCCACTTTACTCCCTTACATCTAGTCTTTGAGGGGGGAAAGGAGGATAGGGTGGGGTAAAGCGGCTTACTCAAAATTCCGTGTACAAAGTGCCCTCTTGACTCCCCGTTCGTGGAGATAATCCATGAGCTCCACCAGTCCCGGCTGAGGCTCCTGGGTTTGCATAGCCTCTCGCTCGACGGCCTTGATCTTATCTGCGGCTTCAAGCTGTTGCTCGGGGGTTGGGAGACTGCTAATATGGTGCAAGATGTCGATGTCGCTGTTGAGGATCCCAAGAGAGTCTCTGGAGAACATTTAGTACACATCAACGTAGGATGTAAAACGATATCGGATATCAAGCACATACCGCATCTTAACAAACATGTGGTTTTGAGGAAGACTATTTACATGTTGGTTGATCAATCAGTCCTCCAACCGAGCTACCAAAACATGGTTCATAGAAAGTATCAAGTACCATAATGTTCCGTCCACGTCGAAAACGATACCCTTCAACGGTGGGGCACTTGATGTTCCTTTTCTCTCTGGGCTAAGAGGAGCAAATCGTCGCTGACGAAGTGTGTAATTTCGAGCCGAGACCATGATGCGTCCGAGTTGCGGGAGGGACCGCGAGGTGAACATTCGAATTGGGGGGGAGGGGGGGGGACGTTGGAGTGGAGGTTCAAGAGGTTGTTTTGATGTGGTGTGATTCGACTAAATGGCGGAGATAAGATTGATAAGGTTTTTTGGAGTGCGGAGATTTCGGAAATACTAAAGAGCATCTATACTCAGTTGTTGGGAATTTGCATAGGCTATCTTAACTAGTTCCTATATTGCTACCTTGAAGGACATTCGACGGCATAAATAGCATCATAGTGGTGAATACAGCAGACAAAGGACCTTTACGTTGTTCACCGATCCCTGAGCGCACTAATGTATTATCCATACATGACAATGAAGCTGTTGGCTGTCATGTGTTGCTGATTTTTTTGTTTCGTATAAACTTGTCTATGTACTTGAAGCAGCGTATACAACTGCCCTCTGCGGCCTTCGCGTGCGCCATTTAAAATGGCTTCTTGTGCAACCCCCCCCCCAAAGCGGCTTACCACATGTAATGAATGAATGCATCCTGCCCTACCGTAATCCATGTCTGGGATTGCTTCGTTTACTATACAACAATATTCACGGCACCGGCCATATTACATTGTTATAACCTTGATTGTCTCTTCCTACAATACGTAATATGAATCCTCTTACACGAATCGAACGTGAAATCGTCTCAGACATGAAGTTGATTGTATTTATCTAAATGAGAGGAACAGTTATATCGAAGGCGTTCTATTTCTCTAGAAGCCAAGTCATTCTATTAACGTTGTTATCTCTTTGACTATATCTGTAACGGCCTCTGTGTCGTAAGCTGCAGTGTGATACTCACCCTTGTCTCCGGATCTTCCGTGCCTTGCAAGAAGGCTCCTGTGCACCACGGACAAAGACAGAGAGGGCCAGGCCCTAGGGAGAAGCTTCTTCAGCAGTCTTCCCACGTCAATGTTCTGAAAGTTTGAGCATAAATGGTGGCTTTCTTTAGGAACTATTAGCTCTCGACTTCCTGAGAGCAACCTTTGGAAGCATTGCATATCCTGCTGACTGTACCATGAAATGATACTAATTCTTTCTGCACTGTAGTTCAGCTTATGGACTATTTCGTCCCGGATCTCATCTGGCCTCAATCCATTCGTCATGATGTCACCATAGCAACGTGTAAATAGAAGTTGTACGCGTCTGTCCGTAATTTCCCAATTGTTTAGTTTGGCAAGGAAATTTTCAAGAGACAGGCCATAGTGAACATTCTCTGCAAGCAGTAGTTTGCCGTCAAGCTGCCGAATAGCAAACTGGAGTGGTATCGGAGACATCTCTCTACCCAGAGTGATGTACTCAAAGTCGATGACCCAGGTATTATGAGGACACCTGTGATAACTTGTCCAAAGAGCTTTGACATCAGTCATTGCATCATCCGCAAGTTTCAACTCCCATTGTGGCATTGGAGGTTCAGCACCCATAGCCTTCAATGACGACACATATTGGGTGATCCTCGATGAGTGGTGCTTGCAATACCCAGAGTATAGCTCCTGTGGTAATGGACAAGTTAGGATCAAGCATTTTTTTCTCGCCGTCAACCAATGAATAATTTTTGAGGACTGCACGTTGCATTGAAGACCGCTGGTTCAGACGCCTTTTCTTCATATGCCCTCTATTACCATGCTGTGTGGCCTCGTCCGCCTCCTCTGCATCGGTAACATCAGCAAAATCCTCCGGTTCAGCGATGGAATCTGTTACATCATGGGCACCATCAATCCCTCTGCCAGGCTCCCACATAGTATATGACGTTGTAGGCATGCCTTCTCCGTATTTCACCATTTTAGTGGTAGTCAAATCTTCCACTTCATCAGAATACGGTTCCTTTAAGCCCTGTGGCCTCACGCCCTCGACTAGCTTCTCTGTCAGAGAGTAGAGGTGGTCGCACGGTTGCGGTGTAGGCCGATGTAATGTAAAGTCTCTTAGCCTCAGAAGCTGAAAAGGCTTTCGGGTGGTATCCTTCTTAAAAACAACCCTCGAGCCCCACCGGCGAATGTTGTTCACTAGTAGTTCAATATTCATGAATCTCCCTTGGATGGGACTGTCGAACCTAGAGCACGCATAGTTCGCATGGATTGGAGTCGTATAAAGTGTCCATGTGCTGGTATATCTCCGTGGGCGCCAGCGATCTTCAGCCCGTAAGAAGAGCGGTTCAACATCCATCACGTGAAGCACAGTACTGTGCTTGAACACCTCTAAAAGTCTTTCGATATTGCTGTAGTACACTTTTACTTTGCATTGTCGTGGAGATTTCCGGATTCCATGGTCAATTGTCCATCCTTGAAGGTATAAGATGTTTGGCCTAGATGCATTCATAGTCTGAGGACCCCACAACGACAATGCCAAGGGCAATAGTAGCTCTTCGTCGCCGAAAGAGAGAAGTACAGCCCACTGAGCCGGGGCTCCGGGATATGGACAATCATAGTCCAGCTCAATGCGCACAGGGAGGGCTGAAGTCACCTAATGGATTCAGTGTCAGATGCAAATCATGGCTCATATAAGGCTATTTAGATCTCGTGATTTTGTACTCACCTTACTACTTAAAGTGGTTATGCTTTGGCAAATTAATGCAACACAGTGCTTAACTTCATCATAACAGGGTCTAACTGATGCATAGGAGCCCGTGTAATAACCACTTGGCGCTCGTATATCAAATTCGGGAGCAAGTTCGTAAAGGTGCTTATTAACATCGACAACTCTAAGGGTTGAACCCTTGCTTTCACTTGCCCTACTCGTGTATGTGCTCTCAGCGTGGATAATCAGCGAAGGTCGCTCGTTTGATGGTAAGCCAGGCATGGCAGGTGGAGGGAGAGGATGGCCTGGGTGGGGAAGGATATCCTGACAATCTAAGAAGTTATATGCATCTTGAAATGTATACAGCTTTCCCCACCCTCCCCCCTTCAATGCCAACAAAGGGAACAGGGTGTTGTAAAGTATGGAGCTAGACGAAACATGGATCAACTGATGTCAATTCTTAAGGAGGTTGGGGACGTACCCTATGATCAGATGCTGTCAAACTCAACGTATCCCTCAGCTGCCTTGGGCTTAGCTGCAAATAGTATGAAAATTGGTGATTGGTGCCGGAGCTCCCATCTACGAATGAAGCCTCATCACCAGATACTGTCTCCCTTGTACCTTCTTGTGGTGCTGCTAGTGTCTTTGCCTGAACCCGAGGACGTTTGTCGGCTCTTTTAGATCCAGGAGACATGGCGGCTAGCTTGTCCTCTTCTTTCATCCACCGTCTCAACATCACCTCATTGAGAAAAAGCTTTCGAGCCGCTACTTCCATGGTAATTGGATGGCATCTCGAGGTTTCAACGTTTAGCGATCTGGCCTCCCGGCAATAGCGAATCGCGGAAAGTTTCTCTTCTCGTGTATATATGAAACGTCTTGGCCGAACCATCCTGTTTGCAGCTCTCTGGTTACCTATACACTTGAGCGATCGGTATTGTTCTTCTGTGAGGGGCTCAACTGAATGCAGGGGTGCCGTCCTGGAAGCCCGGTCGAATTCGCGAACGCCCCCAGCTCTGACTCGACTTGCATGATGAATCCAGCCTATCATCCATGCTGTTTTCCATGGACTGTTGATTCTGTTCAGTGGTATGATTCTTTTGGGTAGTGGATGTCATGGTTGCCTAGCTCGACTGTCTTATATTCCTGTGATTGGGGTATATCCTTGAGTAAAGACTGGAAGTATGGGTAAACGACTATTTACCGCAGGGTTGGGGGAGTTTTTGAAGTAAAAAATGAATAAGGAAATAAGCGGTTCTGGTGTTGGGGGACAATGAGAGTTTATGTTTTGAAAGGTAGAACTAGTCAACTGAATTCCCTCAGACAATTCACTTGACGATGTACCTTGAGATCTAAATTCAACCAAGGAAACTCAGCTATCACCTTGGAAGTGGATCTGGTACTATTGCGTGATTTACAAGGCATTCAACTAGATATAGTGGATAAACATATTTCATAGGGATTGTGCCTTTTTCCAGAATTAAAGATCTCATGAAGGCCTGCTTGCGAGTGTAGTTTTGCCCGAAGCCCTGGCCATATCTCTTGCGGTCTTTACCACGAGAACCATATTTGTAATTGTCCGGAATGCCCAATAAACACTCATAATCGTCCGCTGCAGGCTCTTCTCCATCTCGTATGGTCATAACTTTGTCAGTCATGATTTCCCATAGCTTTGCATTCGTGCCGTTGTAGAAAAATCCATTTTGAGGACAGAAAGAACGGCGAACTGTGGTTGTCGACCAAATTCGGTGAAGTTGATCATCAGAAATGTCGCAAAACTGCCAAACATTATCATCAGTAAAAAGTAAATTTCCGTCAAAGATATGAGAGTTGTTGCCATGGTTAGTGCGAACCACTCTTGGGAACGATATTTCGACGGTTGGGGGTGATGTAAAAGAAGGCTCTGCGATTATGGGGTCATATGTATAGGGAAATTTGTAAGTTTGATACATCCTATATTCAGGGCCCTGTCTTGGGTCGGTGCCAAAGGCTACAAGGGCGTGTCTCCAGGGCCCATTTGTGAAGGAGTAGCCACAGTAAGGGAGGGCTTCCAATAGACTCAAAAGATCTGGGGCCCGAGTGAGATTCTTCAGGACCCTGGGGGTAGCGACTGGTCGTCTACGCATCACGAGTCTGATATCACGTAATAATGCTCGCATGTCGTGCGAGAGAGAGGTTTCAGATGGTAAGCAAGCCAGTTGGCTCGTTTGGGACTTCGGTTGATTCTATGGATATTTTCAACTTGAGTTGCGCATTAGGGCAAGGCTTAAATGTCTATGGGAGAGAGGGAGAGGGTTACAATTTTCCCTTGATACTCCTCTTCCGGTCGGGCTGCCATGCTTGCAGTTCTAGGATGAACACCCAAAAGGTGGCAGATGTGATACTCGATGCTATTTCAAAGATGGGATCACTTGACAGTGACATTCAAATGCAGTGAACGATTGACCTCGACATCTTCAGGCGTAGGGAGACAGATACAGGTCGATCATATGGGCTGGGGATAGTGTGCTGGCCGGTGGATGAGAGCCAAGTGAAGAATGTGAGAAGCGGAGATATAATCTTCATTATTGGTAGGTAAGACTGTATGAGAGTGAGTGTGGTTTCTAGATATATACGACGCGGTTGGTTTTTACATAAACAAAGAGAGGTGGTATATTTAGGTAAATTCGCCAACAATGGGCTTTAAGGGATGGTAGGCCCCGTGATTTTCGGTTGTCAAAAGATAATCCATCGATCGTATATAAAGGTGAACCGATACCTTCACTGTACTTACCCAGAGGTTTTCTAGGATTAAAAGGATATTTGAGCGGCTCCAGATAAGCATTTATAGTTACAACAATTTAGAGGGAATCTTTGAGGGTCCCAGGAATTTGAACAATGCCTTAAGAGCTCCAGTCTTTGGCTGCAGTAGCCTGTAGGAGTACGTAGCATTCTCACACCCGTAGATGAGGTAGGTGGTCGAACTAGAATTCTTACGAATATATAATAGGCCGAAAGCCGTCTATCACTCAGCCAAGCATGCAAAGTTAGGATGGATTCTAGGGTATAGATTGTTATCCCAAAAACCTATTGTTGGTAGACAGTCCTTGGTATAGCACGTCACAGTTGCATGGAGTATTATATATAACAGGAGGTCCTACATTCTTCGATAACCGAATAGAATATTACTGGACCACCAGTTCCTGGCCTGGAATTGCCTGCTTAGAAAGGTCCAAGTTGACTCTCCTAATGAGATTAGGGGTCCATGTATTTGCGGGTATCTTGCTGATGACCTAGCCGTCGGAATAGTTGGGCTATAGCATGAGCCGTATATCAATGTAAAAAGGAAAAACAACTGAACAATACGGCAAGATGACCGAGTGGTTAAGGTAAATTTGCACTGCCCTACAGTAATCAATCAACCAATCATCTAACAATCCTATCAGGTGTATGACTCAAGCTACAGCTTGCTCTAGAAAATAGAGTGCCTTCATATGTCGCAAGACGCGTGGGTTCGAATCCCACTCTTGTCAGTTCTTTTTCTTTTTTCCCTTGGCATTAGTGCTTGGAAATCTAGTATGTAGGTTGAATATAACAACTACACCCACCATGTATAGTTATATAGGCCATCAATCAGAGAGGCTAGAGCGGGTCATGTAGAAGTCAGCCCCAAGTCGATGTCAAGGCTAACAAGGATAGATAGAATAATTCGATTAGTGCTCAGGAATGTGTTCTTCTTCACTTTTGTTCATGTCTATTTCACACTATATGAAATCCTGAGTTGTAGTAGACCTTCCCTAAACCATATATACATATAAGCGATTTAGAATCTTGAAACGGCGTTGCGCTTAATCTGACCTATCAAGTCAGCTAATTTTCTTAATGTAGGATTAGTCTATGGAAATTATCCCCCGGACTCGCGTACAATGTTTCGGACGTGACCCCGTTAACATGACTGACTCTAAATCTGACACAAAGAACGAAATGTGAGCCATTTGGATTGACTCAACTCACCGTCATCCCCCGCTATATGCTTAGAGACTTGACCACACTGGTGATCTCAGACAGTCATTATGATTCATCTGCATGTCACTCTCTTGGAATACTTCATCATGTATGAAGGTACTAGAATAGGTCATCGCAATGGCTAACGTCGGTGGAATCAATGTGGAGCTGGTGTAGACGGGCTGAATCCTTGGGGATTTGGCTCCGAGGAGAAGGTACTACGTATATATACTATATAATTCGTTTCATCATGTACTTCACAAGAGAAGCTCTCTTGTTAAAACAAATCCATTTACTTCAACTCCATTGTTTCTCCCACTCCTTATCTTGCATTATTCTTCAACCCCTACTTCCTTCGACAAAATCAAAATGCCTTCCCTCGACCGAGAGCTAGAAATAGCCCTCCCTAACCTACCCTTCTCGGGGATGTTCACACGCGAAAACCTTCCAGCTGCGCGACAATTTGCAGAGAGCGCAAGCACTGTTGATTCGATATTAGCCGTCTCTCCATCCATCACCCACGAGGAACGAACAAAATCCGGGCCGCGCGGGGACATTCCAATTTCCATCCTCCAATCATCCACTAGCAAAGACAACCGCAAAAGACCATGCATCATCTACCTACACTGAGGAGGCATGATCATGGGCAACCGTTTCAAGGGAGCGACTATTCCCGCCGCATGGGTGCCCGATTTTGAAGCAGTCTGTGTGCTAGTAGAGTACCGACTAGCACCAGAAAACCCCGCCCCGGCCGGGGTGGAAGACTGCTACGCAGTTCTGAAATGGACCAGCCAAAACGCAGACTCGCTGGGCATTGATCCCAGCCGCATAATAATCGTCGGTTCATCAGCGGGTGGCGGTCTCACAGCCGGGACAGCCCTTCTCGCACGAGACCACGGTGGCCCTGACGTTCACGCTCAGCTGCTGCTCGCGGCCATGTTGGATGATCGCCATAGGACGGTGTCGGCGATGCAGTACGGTGACCAGCTGCCGTGGACGCATGGGGTTGGCGAAATGGCTTGGGAGTGTGCTCTTGAAAGAAGAGAAATGAGAGATGAGAGTCTGAGCATCTACGCGGTACCTGGGCGCGCAGAGGATCTGTCCAATTTGCCCCAAACTTATATTGATGTTGGCTCGGCTGAGGTATTTCGGGATGAGAGCATTACATATGCGTCCGGTGTACTCGCTTCCGGGGGCCTGGTGCTTTTCATGGATCGAATTTATGGGTTCCTGAAGCTGCTCTTTCAAAAGCTGGCGCTAAGGCGAGGGACGATTGGATCGCTCGTATGATGAAATAATAAATGTAGAGCTTGTAGAGACTGGGTTTCAAGAACACTTGAAACTTGACATTGATATCTCACGCTCTGGTGTTCTGTACCACCATGGATCGTAATTATGAATCAGCTGTTTTCCTGGATGTGTATGACTCGCTGTATAGATCAGCAGTTTCAATAATCATAATAAGGTATCCGTCAGGATAGCATGAGAGAAGCAGGCAAGAAACTGGTGATACAAAGAAAACGGGGGGAAAGAAAAAAAAAAAAAGTATTTGACAAGAGTGGGATTCGAACCCACGCGTCTTGCGACATATGAAGGCACTCTATTTTCTAGAGCAAGCTGTAGCTTGAGTCATACCTGATGGGATAATGTTAGATTATTGGTCGATGGACTATATAGGTCACACAGTACTTACACCTTAACCACTCGGTCATCTTGCCGTGTTGATGACTAAGTCAATCAAATTAGGTTATTTATTCATAGATCCTCTCAACTGTGGATGAAAATAAAAAGAATTGACAAGAGTGGGATTCGAACCCACGCGTCTTGCGACATATGAAGTAACCCTAGTTGTTCTAGGACAAGCTGTAGCTTGAGTCATACACCTGATAGGACTGTTAGATGATTGGTTGATTGATTACTGTAGGGCAGTGCAAATTTACCTTAACCACTCGGTCATCTTGCCGTGTTGATGGTAAAGATTTGCGAATTAGGGTATATATATAAAAGTGACTGCATCAAAATACCACTTTAACGGCGTATAGTTAGATTCAAAAAGACCCTTCGATCTGTTTCATAACTTGTATTGTAATAGACCGTAAGATCTTCCAATATAAAAGGAAGACGAGTAACTCCATCCATCTTACATTGGAATCCAATCCAACGAATATCCAACATTTTCCACACAAGTCTTGTATACAAATCTTCCGATTCATCCATTCCAACCATGGCCCACACCTTCTACGACGGAACCATCCCGGTAGTCCAAGCCATCCTCAACTCCCTCTCCCACATCCTCCATCAAGCTGGGCAACACCCCAATGCCACCACTCTCCTCGCAGCCCGCCTCCATGAGGACATGTACCCACTAACCGACCAAGTCCGCATCGCGACCCAGTTCTCCGAGAACCTAGTCGCAAGACTGACCGGTCGAGAGCCGGTGATGTTCGATGGCAGTCCCACGACATTTGCCGAGTGCTACGAGCGTATTGAGACGGTGTTGAAGGCGTCTAACGAGGCCGATAAGGACGTCGTCAATCAACATGCTGACGTTGTCGCGACGACGAAGATGGGCCCCGAAAAGGCGGTTGATATGACTGCTGCGGCGTATGCTCATAGCGTTGCCTTGCCCAACATCTATTTTCATCTTACTACTGCGTATGGGATTCTAAGGAAGGAAGGCGTGCCGTTGGGTAAGCGGGATTATTATGTTGGGTTTTTCCCACATCTTGGGGGCCAGTAGAGGAGGAGGGGGCATTCCTTGGGATTTGGGGGCGGCTTTGTTAGTGGTCTTTAATTTTCTGACTTATATTGGAAATTGGCCTGGGAGGTCGATTGTTATGCACTGAATAGATGGTTGGGTTTCTGATGTCTATGTTAGATATAGAAGAATACTTATTCACATTATATACTAGGCTTCTGATAGCATAGTAAATTGGATATTTTCCATAGCTTGTGTTTGCTCAGTAGCTGAATACTTTCCCCTCTAGGACGCTAATTGTTAGTGGTAATATACTCGCTTTCTTTCCTGCCCTTACACTTATCCTAAGTAAGCCAATTTCTGCCTCCCACGCATTAAGAAATAGATCGCAGATTATCCCAAGAATTAGATCTGCAGGCCTTATCGAGGTCTAGAATCAGTTATTTTCAGTATTAATTCTGCACATTCCATATCAAGGGCGGTGCTAGGATTTGTAGTTTTAGCTACATTCAAGTCCCGATTCAGAATCGTGCCCTAACGAGGAGAACGTTAGAGAACGGTTGGTACATACAATACATAAATCACTTCTGCAAGTGATTACCTCGCATATCTTCTTCACTCTTTGAAAAATATGAGATCAAAGTAGAAAGATAAATTGGGGTTGATAAATAGTAGTAAAAGTATCAGAATAATTATGTCTCCACATAAGTTAGCAATATAACCCTACCTTACCCTACAGTAGTACCCTTCACATAAATCCCAGCCAACTCAGCCAACTCACCAATGCACTCCCTCCAAGCAAAATAAAACAACACAGAAAACACATACATTAGTAACAAGATCAACGAGTGACGTAAACCCTGCAATAAGTTCTAACCATGGTACATGTGACGCCTCCCCCGCACCTTAACAGAAGCCCCCCCCCCCTTAAAAAGTACCACTACAACGTCCTCCTCACCCCAAGAACTTCCCAAGTACCTCCCCTAACAACCAACTACATTATCTCAAAATGTCCAACTCATTAGATCTAGCCATCTGCTCGACCTGTGGAACACAGTATCCTACAACAAGCGAATCATCGTGTAAGATATGCGACGATCCAAGACAGTTCATTCCTGCGACTGGGTAAATTCTATATCCCCCTTCCCTTCCCTTCCTCTATCTACAACTACAACTTCGATTCAAGTATATCCTAAAGGGAAAGAAGAGAGGGGAATTTGTAGTTATATATTTCTATAAGAGGAAACCAAGTACTAACTATAATATACTACTCCCCCCCCGGGCCAAAGACAATCCTGGACAACACTCCGCACTCTCCAAAACACCAGAACATATCATAACGAATTCACCCCAGATTCAATCCACAAGGATTTAATCTCCATTCATACCGTCCCGAGAGTGGCCATCGGCCAACGTGCCCTACTATGTCGTACGCCTACCGGTAATCTCCTCTGGGATTGCATCACTTACATCGATGATGAGACCGTCTCCAAGATCAATGAACTAGGTGGCCTGAAAGGAATTGTTATCTCGCATCCGCACTTCTACACCACACACCTCCACTGGGCGGAGATCTTTGACTGTCCGGTTTATTTGGCGCGGGAGGATAGAGAGTGGGTGGTGCGCACGGGGAAGAGGCAGGTCCTTTGGGATTCGTCACGGTTGCCGGTTCCTGGGGTGGATGCTGATTTGGTGGCTGTGAAGACTGGGGGGCATTTTCCTGGGAGTTCGGTGTTGTGGTGGAGGTCGTTGAGGGTATTGTTGGTTGCTGATTCGATTGGGGTGGTGCCGAGTGGGATTTATCATGTTGGCAGGTTGCCTGGGACTGTGTCCTTTACATTTATGTGGTCTTATCCCAATATGGTTTGTCTTTTCTCTTCTTTTCCTTTATGTTGCTTGTTGTTGGCTGACTGGGAAACATAGATACCTCTGCCTCCAGATGAAGTGCATAATATCTGGAAGGCCGTCGAGGATTTGGATTTTGACGATATTCGTGGTGGCTTCATGGGAACGGAGGTAAACGGCAATTGTAGGCAGCGTGTGCTAGAGAGTGCTAAGATCTTTGTCAAGTCTATGGGACATCTCGAACATACAATTCACGAGGAACAGTGTGTTTGAAACGAGCGCTATGTATATGAAAAACAGCATGTACAGACTAGTAGAATGAACAAACTCCCATGTCCGTCTCCAGCGATTCAATCACTGGGCTAATAATAAAAGACTGCTTAGCCAAAGCAGCAACTCAGATACTCCAAGCAACGCTAAGAATAATCCAATATCACAGGTCCGAAAACGGCCGCACAGAAGTCACACTCCGACCTCTTGTACAGTGTGGCGTCATAGACAAAGTATTACCATACGACCCTTCGCTGATAGAAAATCTTCCAGGAAAACCCTCCGTTGACGGAGCTGACCTTGACACCTCTTCCAATATCAAGATCGCATACGAGTCGTTCATTAAAGGCAACCCAACAGAGTCAACAGACCATGGCCGACTGGCGGGGTTTAAGCGCTGTCTCTCAGCCCTGAATGCAGCGTACTCTGGGTTCAAAGTAGTTACGCTTGTCTGGCTCACATTAGGAGAATCGGTGTGAGAGACAGATAAACATCCCTGTTCTTCATCCTCGTTGGCGCAGAGTAACCGTTGTGCACTGCTTCTTTCGCTTGCTGCATGTCCTGACTCTAGGAGTTGATGGCTGGAAGGAAAAGCTTCCACGCCGCGGCTTGACCCACACTGCCACAGACGAAATCCAGTTGGTACACAAGGTGAGGTATGAATAAGAGGTCTCTGCACATCAGATGATGTCCGGCTCTCATCTGCAGGCCCATCAACTGATGGAAAATGTGCTATCTCAATTGCATCCGGGATTGTGGGTGAGCGGAAGACACCCTCGGGCATGACGGATAAGAAAATATTGATGATAAGTTGCTCTCTGCGAACAATAGCTCTAACGACTGGGCTTTTCAGTGGTCGTTTCCGACTTTTGTCAAGGCGAAATAGGAATGCTACAGCGTGGAGAAGCTTCAGGGTTATGAGGGCTCCCAGAAGAGAGAGGACTTCACCGGTGCTGATGATGATGGGGTTGCTGGGGGGAAGAGTAGACTCTTCGTCGGTGTGGGTTGCCATGAGAGCTGATGGGGAAGGCATTGCTGGAAATGAGTGTGTATATCTGAAAGGATGTCAAAAGAGGCTGATAATTGTTATCAAGGGAACAAAAGGTGGGTTTGGAAATTGAGAACGGTTCTGAATATGAGGAATTGACCGTCACGTAAAAAGGAAAGAGCAACTGGACACAACAACCCTACGACAGTCACTTCGCTAGTAGTAACAGGCTCTACACTATTTTTTCTTTGGCTTAACCCAACTCATTCATGTTTCCTGGTAAGTATAATAGCGTCCTCATTCTGGAAGCCAATCATTGAGTCTATTAATGGAAATGACTGTAGCTTTTTCTATAACCGAATTGCCAAGTGAGCGCGGAAGAGATGATGGTTCTGTATACATAATGACTTAGTCCGTTCCTACTGCCAAACAAGACAAGCAGATATATCAAATCCTCAACATCAGCAAGGTACATCCTCCGAAGCGACGAGCATCCAATCCTCCCCGGGCCCTTCCTGAGTCAGAGCGTCAGTCGACGTCCACTGCACAGGATTGCCCTGTTTCGAAAACGGTGCAGAACCAATGAACTCCCCTTTCCTCAATTCATAGAAGTGGAACTTAAAAGAAGTTGTCACGTTACCGGCTAAGGGGCACATCAAATGGTGGTCTTCAAAGGAAAGGATCACAAACCGGCGTGCGTTGCCCGGTTCAATCAACATGAGCTGGAGAACATCTCCACCGACTAGGACAAGAGGTTCTCTGGTCTCAGGGCAAATTTGAATGTGGAATTTTGAACGGTTCGTTGTTGAAACATTCACCTTGGCTTTATAGGGAGGCACGAACCACCACTCTGGTGCATTTCGGTTGCGGATGTAGTAGCATCGATTATTGATGTTGCCAGACGCATTGTCGTCTGAAGCATTGGTAGGGTTGAAAGTTATCTGGCTGGTAAGCGGGCTGATGAAGAGTTTTCCTTTCAGGTAATTTTGTGCTGCCTCAGGGATTTCCTCGTTCGTGCCCTGGTCGATGTCGGTGATGAGATTGGTCAATAACGAGATGGTATTCTCGTGGGTTGGGTCGATGGACCATAATGTGGGCGAGTAGTAGGTTGTTCTGATTGGAATGTATCCCAAGACCCTCATGGGGGTGTACTGTTGCAGTTGTCGGTAGAAATAGTCGGCAGTTTCCCGGTTAACGGTGGTGAGGACATGAATGCTAGTGCCCTTCGCTGCTATATGGACATAGTATGGCATCTTGGGCCTCTCGGGCGTGGGGCGATAGAGGAAAGACAAGTAGTGATGAATAGCGAGCTGTATCTGGTAACGGCTGTCTTATAGAAATAGATGGTGAGCACTATGAAAGTGTGGTACAATTCATTGAATGGACGATAGGAGGAATTCGACTTATAAGAAGTTCTCCGTATCGTTCACAGTCGTTCTTTCCTTCTCGTACATCCTCGCCGAGAGAAAACTAGGAAGGACGACTGTATTATCCTGAAGGGGGAGCATCGTGTGCTCTCTAGAACGCATAGATTGGCTCATGCCATGGTCAACCCAGAATACGCCAGCATGTGTTCACAAGGCAAGAAAGGCAATAGAGGGAAAGCGTCAAAATTAATGCTGCTATGGCCTGGTGTTCACACCATTGATTATTAACGTGCATGTTGTGATCCTGAACTCTAGACTGTATCAACATGAACATGATCGAGTGCTTTTGATTCGAATTATGCATGGTAAGAAGCATCATCACCAATAGCCAACAAGATATGTGGAAGAGAAGGGAATCGCTATTGGACATCGCAGGTACATGGTATTGTAAGGAGAAAGAAAACCAAAATTTACAGCCTCATCCACCCCTTGTCCGGTAATAAACATGTTGTAAATCAAATCATCGTGCGTATGCAAGGACGCTAGGCATAACATACGTAGAATCATAAAGAAGAGAAATTTGTGAATGGCAGAAGTCATAATGTCGTAAGGAAGTATTGGCATCTACTCGTCAAGCGAGACTAATAGAGAGATTCCTCGTCGACCTGATCAGGGCTTGCTCGATATTGACTCCGCTTCCTTCGGCTAGGACTGCTATATTGACTGCCCGAATTCAGCGGACGAGGCCCGGTAGGTTTACGGGGGGGCGGTGTGCTGCGCGGAGAAGAGCGTAATGCAGAATTCTAATCATTCAGTCAGCTTCTCTTCAATACTACAACACCCTCGACGAAAGTAGACTTACCCGCGAAGCAACGCGGTCCACGTACGATCGCTCATCGTCCTCCTTGACCTTTGGCGGCCGCTCAGGAACCAATGGACCATCATCCTTGATCTTTGGGGGCCTCGGTGGACCAGTATGTCGAGAGCTGGCCTCCGAGTAGCCCGCATCCGAGATCGGGGAGAGACGACTGGCGCCGCTGCTGTGTCGCGGATTGGGATTCCCAGCTGACAGGCTCGGATTGGAATTCCACTGGTCCGAGGGGGCACCAGGCGGCATCCCGTAGATCTGAGCTTGTGTTTCTAGCTGAGACTGGTATCGGCCAGTAGGCCCCTGGCGAGGCTGAGGATGTTGAAGATCCAGACTCTCTCGGTGAGCTCTGTATTTCGGAGCTTCCGAAACCTGGGAAGGAACCAAAGGCGATGGGGGCCGGTTCTCCTGCTGCTGGTCATCTAGGGTGTAGGTCGACCGCAGCCTGTCGTCGCCTTGTGGATCGTACCAGTCAGCGGCCTTGTATGGGCCCTGGATATCGGACCCTGAACGCGAAGCATCGAAAGACGGGCGCTCCTTGCGGCCTGGCTGGATGCTATTGCGGATATTGTCTCCCATGGACGATGCCGTGGTTTTGGACCAACGGGAAATCTTGGGGAAGAACGAGGAGCTGCTTGATTTGTGCTTCTTGGACTTCTCATTTGTCTTCGGGGACGTTTCATTACTGAGAGCGCCAGAGGCCATGGGTGCCCGAGGTGGTGTGGAGGCCGAGGAGGGTCCAGCCCTGTCCTGTGGGCCGTTTGTGTTGTTAAATGGTGCCGGGTTTGGGCCCAGGAACTCTCCACGCTCATTGATTTCCATCTCCTCATCGGCTTCTGGAACAGTGCTGACACGGTGTTCAGAATCTCTCCGCAGTCCATTACCACGAGATTCTGGCATTGGCCGAGAAGAAGTAGATAGCAAGTACCCGGAATGGTCGGGGGAAGAAGTTCCAGCATGTCCTTCGGGCTCGTAGCCTTCTGGATCTACACTGGCAGACCGAGGCCCACTGCGGCCCAGCCTCTCGTCTTGACCATCGCGGAGTGCTTCAACCTCATCGAGCAGTTGCTCCAGCATGTCCTCGATCCTGGATAGGTCGTTGGAAGACTTGAGACTGAGTCCTTTAAGTGCACGTTTGAAAACGTTCTTACGCTTGGAGCGTAGGTCTTCGTCGTCTGCAGAAGACTGGCGGGCGCTTCTGGTGCTGGCCGGTAGTGGGCGAGGTCCTCCGAGAGCTCGATACGTTCGGTCATGCTGCTTGTCACTTGCTTCCATGAGCATCCCGTCCTGCTGAGCAATAAACTTTTTCATTTCCTCGAACGAGTTGCGCATTTCCGCTGCGCTTCTAACAAGGGTAACGAGAATCTCCGTATCGCGGGCGTTTCGTTGGGCGTCGCGCACGGTGAGCTGTGTACAAGTCAGAATCAGTTCGCGAAATTTAATTTCTGTACCGAATTACTTACATGGTCCATGAGTGCGACAATATCTTTGGACTGAATACGGTCAATGCCCCTCCCAGTTGCACTGTCATACAGAGGCGAGCCGACACCCTGTGAGTAGCCACTGAGTTGCCGCTGGTGACCAGACATGAACTGATCATCAGCTCCAGTAGGGCTATCGAAGAGGCCCATGCCATTGGTGTCCATACCACCGAACCCTTTGTCCAAAGGTTCCGGCGTATCGATACCCGGTGAGAGAGGGTTTGGGGCGGACACATAACCCTCATCTTTGCCTGGCGGCGTGCCAAACAACGGACCTCTTGAGTATTGATGATCAAGGTAGTCATCGGGGTTGTAGTCATTTGTTTCATAGTAGTCATGACCGTAATCGGGTTGGCCACCTAACCCCGGGCCTGTATTGCCAGCGGAGCCAGCATTGTCAAACATAGGCGACTGGCCACGGTTATCTGGCGTCTGCTCATATACCCAGCCACCTCCATGCATGCCTCCTCCGATTGGGCCTTGGATAATAGATGGATTCGTATTGATCTCCGATTCAGAATCCGGACTTCGGTCGGCTTCTGGACTGGGGCTCTCACGGTCATGGATGTCTTCAGAAAACATGTGTGTCGGGTCGGTCTGGTCTTCCAATGACTGTGTAACACTCTGGGGAGGCGACGTGGCTCCCATTCGTCGGGGGAAGGAGGTCGCATCTGGACTGGAGGCGTCTTGGCGTTGTTTTAGAGGGCTTCCTTGGCGGGACCCGTGAGGAGTCTGGTTTGCCCTTTCCGCTGGCTTGGGACTTTGGCCTTCCAAACGCCGGGAGAGATCAGTCTGTGAGCGATTGGCCGCAGACTGGTTGGACTTCGTGTCCATAATTGACGGATCAAGAAGAGAGGCTACCGCGGATTCGACTGCGATGGGATGGATAACCTGAGGGTTGGCACCGATGCCTGCAACGGGCTGACGTTGGTTTACTTTTTCCATGTAGCTCACCTCACTCTCGTCCATAAAGCCGGTCATCCTTTTGGGGTCAGTACTTGCGGTCTCCGTCATCGATCGTGGTGACATGGCGGGGGATTCTTCATACCCAAGTTCAGCCCCATACTTGTTGTTATGTCGTAGGATTTCTTTCTGGCCTGCAAGACTAATACCGTGAGGCCGTGAAGACCTTGCAAGGTTGGTGCTTGGGGCAGATGAAAGCGAATCTATGGAGAGGCGTTGTTCCATTTCCTTCTCAGTCCCGGAAAATTCATGCTCAACCGGCTGGATTGAATCCTGTTTGATGTGGGACTCGCTCTGGTTGCTAGCCACACTCTGGATTGGGCTGAGGGTGCGTCGACGGTCAGTGAACCTAGAGCCGTGATGATGCCCGGAATGTTCATCCAAGAGATTGGCCGCTGCGGCAGCTGCAATAGCTCCCGCGGCAGCGTCCCCTACAGGTGAAAGGCTCTGTTCACGATAATCTTCTTCAGGATAATCGTGGAGCGACAGGTCGTGGCTAGAGAAGTTGCTGTGTTTAAGGTCATATCGCGAATCCAACAAATCTCGATGCGGGCTACGAGCATCGTGGATTACCGATGTTTCACGGGAACCATAGGGCTCTGCAGTCTGTTCAGAAAGAAGGGAGTCTCTGGTCATGTCCGACTCAATCGCGCTGCGCAGCGGCATGGGTGCCACGTTGTGTTTCTGGAAGACCAACTCGGTATCGTTGAAACTGCCATTGCGACTCCCCGGGCCACTAGGCCTCCGTCGTTCGGTTTTGTCGATGCTGGAACGAGAATCATGGTGCTTAAGAGCGGCTGCGGTCAGAGCTGAGCCAACCCTGGCGGCCTTTTCGGCATCCCGCAGCCCCTTGCTTTTTTGCCGACGTAGCTTCTCGTTTTCTGTTAGTTCTGGCCGAAGACCCCATTTGACGTAGCTGTTTTCGGACGGTGCCTCGCTGCCTTTGCTGGGTCTGCGCTCATGTTGCGAGGGAGCTGGCTCGCCGGAAAGGACTATACCCTCGTCCTGGCCATCCTTATTCAGGACGACGGTAGGCCGCGTCACGTCGGGAGCGCTGGCATGCTTCGAGAGGCGTCTTCCGAGCTCGTCTCGCGATGGGGTGCTCCCGGAAGAGTGGGATGTATTCATGTCCCGTTCGAATTTGGATGTATTGGTCATCACCTTTTGGTCCTTCTTGAGCTCTTTTAGCTCGGGCAAGATCAACCGACGGATGGCATCTTCAACGGTCTCGAGGAGCTTTGGGTTGTTGATCGATGACTTGGAGGTGCCAGACCGGAAGGAATATTGATCGCCAGATTTACGATGGGCGGACAACGCTGACGCGCTCAGCAAACTCGGATTTGGACTCATGTCTTCGTCTGGGTATGCCGATAAGTGAGATCGAGACTTGGACTCTGGTTCGTGGAAGTCGGCAGTGTCTCCCTTATTCAGTTGGCCTTTAGAAGTCTCACGAGGATCGTTACTCAGCTTCTCCGCCACTCGATGAGCGATGCGTTCCGTACTCAGGCTGCGGCTTCTTTGTCGCCTGGGTGTCTGGAGATAGTCTTTGTATTCCGGACTGTGCTCACGTTCTCGCGATGAACTTTGGCTGCGTTTTCGTCGTATGTTAGAAGAGGAGGCTTCTAGCATGCTATCCGCGGGCATCGACGAGATGTCCGAGGTTGGTTGGAAATATCTTGCGTCGCTAGACAGCTCACTGCTCTGGTCGCGATTCACAAGCTCGATTTCCACGGGTGTATGACCAGAGGGCTGCTGGTTCTCATCGGTACCTGAGTTGAAAGAGCAGATGCTATAATCATCACTGGACTTGTTGTTCCTGGATGGCGAGCTAAAAGAAATCCGGCGCGAGTAGACGGGCTTGCGGTTCCCGTTGGATTCAGTAATCTGGATGTGATCTTTTGAATCCTTGCGCTTCCGGGAGTTTGAAGGAGTGACTCGAACTCGGACACTGGGTCGGGAGACCAAGGAGCCAGAACCCTTCCCGCCCTCGAAATATTCGATGAGCAGGGAGGTCTGGGAGTGCTGCGCTGACCGGGACAGTTTGGATTCGTCCCCGTGGGTACGGTTCTTGCGCCGAGTGGAGATAGTTACGGGACTGCCGTCGTCCGGTATGGAGTACGACGTTTTGTCTGTGCGTCGAGATACGTCAGTTGCCAAATCAGTCCCTGTTACGCTACCACCAGTGGTGGTAGTGTCGACAATAGATTCAGTGGGTGCAGGTAAGATCGGTCTGCGGGTGTCGATACCCATGATGGAGGAATAAGGAGACTCTCCTTCAACCAGACCCGATCATTACCCCTGTCGAGTTAATTTCGTCCACTATTGTTTTTTCTTTTTCTTTTTCTTTTTCTTTTTTCCTTTTCGGGGAGTGGGACCTTTCTTTCTTTTTCTTTCGAGGGGCGGGGGGGGG